AATCATACCAAACTAAACCAAGAAGCCTGAATTATGATGGCTATCAGTTAGGGAAACTAAAGCATTTTTTGAACTCATTATGAACACAAAAATTCCAAAAAGCAGGGAAAAAGAGAAAAGTGGATTCAACAAGAATCCTGAAATCTAAGGTACATAATCATTTTCAATCGTTGGTCTTGTGCGAGTCCCCACTGCTAGTGGTGCTTTGGTGCCTCCAATGGATGCCATATGCAAAGTTTCATTGCTCTCAGCTGCCCATTCCAACTGCTGAATCTTCATCCCTTGTTTGGTTCTCCTCACTTTAGCAATCAATAGACTCAACATGATCAACAACAGGCACCCACCAACAAATGATGCAACAATTATCCACACCTTGTGCTTGCTCCTAGTACCTCCTTTTCCAACATCAGCAGCCACAGCAACAGCAGCAGGTGCTGGAGATGGGGCATTAGACTCCACAACAATAGAGAAGTGGCCTTGTTGGACTGTTGAACATACATTACCATGTGATAGGATATCAAATTGCACAGAACCTTGTAGATCAAAGTACACACACTTTGGCACTGACCCTGATGGTGCTGGTTTTACATGAGGGAACTTGATCAAAATTGGCTTATCAGAAGCTCTAATGTCCAATTCAGGCAAATCAGAAGCATTCAAAGTGGCACCACTGTATGACATCAGACCCAAAACAGGAGCCAAATAAGAGTAACCAGGCAAAGGGTAAAACTTCTCAGACCAGTTGCCCAAGTTGTGGTACACCAAAACAAGCCTCTCCACATAAGGCTGTTCAAACACCCCAATTGGGATCTGAAACTCTTCGTACCTCTCAACACCTCTGGTCCTCAGACTACCACTCCTAAGCCTCATTGCTGAAACTCTAATCCCCGTTAGGTTTCTGGGCACTTGGGCATCATAGGGTACCCCAGTTTTTGGCCTCAAAAATGCCTTAAAGGCGCAATCTTGAAGAATGGCATCAAGGGTCCGGGATGACATTGCAGTGTCAGGTGGGAGCTGAGCGATTGAAAGTGGCAGAGAAAGAAGTAATGGCAACAATGAGAACAAAAAAATGGTTCCAACCCTCATCAAGATCTCATTCGTTCAGTCAAAATCAAATTAAAACCACCAATATCTCTAACACTGAAAGAAACAGCCAGAGACTCAGACACGCAAAGAATGCAACACAGAGACAGAAAATAGAGAGAGAAAGAGAGAGACTTTACAATTTAAAGCACACAAGGTGAGCAAAAAGTGTTGACCATTCTGTTTATGCAATCTGCAGATACCAATGACGAAAGGAAAAACGGCAGAAACCCCACCCCCCAAGAACTAAAAATCAGATCTTTCATGGGACCAAGTGACGTGATGTGGTGGGCTGTGGGGAAAATGTTGAAATTGTCGTCAAAGATTCAGTCTGGTGTTTCAGATTGAAGGAAGTAGCAAACGGGCACGGCCTTATCCCATTCCAGAATCTGGTTGAAGAACAAAAATGGTGGGGAGGGAGAGAGAGAAAATGGGTTGAGGAAAGAAAGAAAATTAACAAATTGCAAAAATATCAAGAATCAGGATATGTAAGAAGAGGAAGCTTTGCCGTTTGAGATTGGGAATGGAGATACTCACACTCACATTGATGTACATGTCAATGTGCTACTGCATGCAAATTCCTCCTTCTGCTGTTCTGTTCTGTTTTGCTGTGTCGTTGTGTTGTATTGTATTGTGTTTCATGGGACCCTAATTTGCCAATTTTAGATTTTACTTGGATTGTTTTTCTGGTACATTTTTATCTGATTACCAATGTGCTGTAAATATATATATATTATTTTCTTTCTAAAACTCAGTCAATAGTTTTTCACTATTGTATTTTGTAATAGGGAATCTAAAGAAAAATCATTAGATTTGTGTGTAGTAGGAATATATTAGATATTTTCCAGAATTATAGAGTTAAGAAGATTTTTTTAAGATTCTGAATTAAATCCAGAGAGAATAATGGTTTTTAAAAAGATAGAGGAAAAGGTGAAAAACATTGCAATTTGAGGGTGTCAAATCAAGTAGGTACCAACAAGCATGTGAACTCTGTACTAAAAAGAAGCATGTGAAGCTGTTTCATAGGTAGAGAGGTGGAAAAATAGCTGCTAATTGCAACTGTAATTTAATAATAGCATTATTATTAAGGCATACATTTAATAGTCAATGCCACAACTAACTTCCTGTCTCAGTGACTTCTTCAACTGCCTAATTAGGAAAAAAGGATGTCAAAAAAGCTTAAGAGCTTCTCATAACTATTCAACATTAATATAAAAAAAAGTTAATATGGAATTTTATTTTAAAGTCAAGACAGTTATCATGAACAGCAGCACTGCTGCTACCTTGTGAAATCACTTTTTCATTTTAATATTCAATAATAAAAATTGACATGTTGATTATTTATTACATGTTCTGTTTTTTTTTTCTCTTGGTTGCTGAATGGACGTTAAACTTTCCAAGGATTCCTATTTAAAACGCAGTTTAAAAAGATTTGTCATCCATAATCAATCAAGTTGCGTCATGGCTCTCTTTTTCTTTTTTCCATGGCGTCATCACTTTCGTAACCCTTGTCGTAAGTAGTTTTTATTTTAAATAGTAAATACCAGTAAAAGAATTGTATTCAATTTCAATCTCAATATTTTAATCTTAAGGATCAAAATTAAATTTTGACTAAAAACTTGTATTTTCTTTTCAAACAAATTATTCTTTTATACAGAATATATTTTTTTACTATAATTGCCATAATAAGAACTTCTTATTTCTACGAAAATGGAAAATTCTTGGGGTATCATCACTACATAAATAGTAAATGAAATAGTAATAATAATAATAATTTTGAATAAGTTAAATTAGGTGACAATGAAAGAGGGTGTGAAAGAAACTGTAAATTGGAAAGGATAACTAAATTTCAGTAAAAAATGAGAGAGAAAAGCGAAAGAAACTCGATCCTTGTCTATCGGAAGAGTATCTTTTGGCAGACGCCATCATCATATCATATCATGCCCACAGATTCCACTTCTGAAACAAAGCTTTCTCCATTCTCAAGCCTCACATTATATTAAGTAAAAATCGTGTTAAACTCGCAATGGTTATTTATCCTATTATTTTAAATGATAAAAAATATGGCTTAATAACAAATATCAATAATGTAATTAACTGGATCTGTTTATTCTGGGGAAGCTCTAACTCGGTACATATTTTCTTATTTGGATCTGTTTTGTATTGATGTACATCCTAATGAAAAAGCAATCCACAAAAAGCTTTTTTTTTTCAAATATTATAAGTTTTTACTTTAAGTTAAAGCATATATGTTTTCAGTTAAACTTCAAACCCTTTAAACAAAAAGAAGTTTGTGTATTAACCAATATTTCTTATGGTTAAGGTTTACCTTGGTGGTGATTAGATTACTCTTTTTAAAGCTTTAAGTCAATCTCGTGCAATTACAAGTAAAGAATGATATATCGTAGGACTATTTCTTCAGTTATAGACTAAACCGTCAATTCTTATTTGGATTTATGTAAATTATTTTCAAAACCGAATGGTTATCAAAATGAATCGATTAGTCAGAACAATTAACATTAATATTGATTAACTTAGAAATAAATTGTGACTAACCGTAATTAGGTTGGTGTTAATCAAAAGTTTATTCCAAACTTTATAAATACAAGTTTGAAGTAAGAAGGTAAACATTTTGCATTTATTATATTACTAATATCTAAACTGTCAATGTTAAGCTGACTATGATATCAGAGTACTTTTAAAAGTATCCTCTGGAACTATGGTTTTGTTAGAAATTAAACATTAGGACAACTTTTGAACCTCAAACGACTATTTAGACTTTAGATTATTGATCTCAAAGGAAAATATAACAATTATGTAGAGAAACTATTTATATATTCTAAGCTTTTTATTTTAGGAATATTTGGTCTCTAATAAAATAAGAAATAAATGTGATAGATAAAATTAATTATAATTAAATTTGATATTTTATAAGTTGGTTTACCTACAAAATTTTAATTGAAGTTATTCAATTTTAATATTATTTTTAAAATATAACATAATTTGATTATTTTAATAGTAATATACTAATAACGTTAACTCATTCATGTTTTTTTTCAATTTTTTTAATTTTTATTTGTCAGTGAAATGTAAACGTGACAAAGACAACTTTTTTTTTAAAATTAGAACAATTTTATTTTTTTAAATTAAAATCAAATTTAACATTATATAAATATTATAATGATTATTTAAATTTATATTTTATATTAAATCTTATTTAAATTTTATTTTAAATATTTATATACCAGTAATTTCACACTATTATGTGTGGTGTGATAAAGACTCTCCATTAAACCCTTTTAACTTTTATATAATTATTATAATGATATTTTTATTAAAATTAATATTTTTAATAATTTTAAGTTTATTTAAATTTATATTTTAAATTAAACTATTTAAATTTTGTTTTAAAATTTTACATTTATACTTATAAAATTGCCATTTTTAAATCAACTCATACAAATATTTGAAACAAAAATTAATAAATATAATTTAAATAAAAATCTTATCATTATAACATTGATATAAAAATTAAATATAATAATAATTTAAAAGGAAACAAAATCATTTTATTTAATAAAACTTAAAACTAAGTTGAAATAAAATAATAAAATAAAAAAATTAAATTAAGATTTTATACATGACACTTATTTCAATTGTAACACATAACACTGAATATTACGTAAAAAAATCTTCATTTACTAATTAAAAAAATATATTTAAAAAAAATCATAAACTGAAACATCACACATAAGTTAACATTATTATTACAATATTAATAGAAACAATCAAATTACATCACATTTTAAAAAATAAAATTCGATGAAGATTCGATTAAAACCAACCAAAACCTAAAGACCTAATTGAGATTTTCAAATAAATAGTAAACTATCAGTATGAGAACTAACAGAATTTAAACCAAATATTAAATATGAGTAGATGATTTTGACAAGTTTAGCCATGATACAGGAACTTTTTGTCATGTATTGCTGCTTTGACATAAGTAACATATGCTGATATAATGAAAAAATAAAAAAATGAAACCCAAAGTTACAGGAGATAAGGTTAAGGTACAAAATTACATCAAGGAAATGTCACCCACGATACATGAAACGAGCAGCATATAAATATCAAATAAAAGAAGTATAAAAAGAGGTGCATCACTATCTCAACAGACGACTTTCATGTTATTTTGCATCATGTCCTGTGATGGAAGAGATGCTTCTAGTGGCTTCAGAATTCCGTGAATCCTTTACGATTTTAACATCCTTTCCAGATACAGTAGATGGGATGCCTCTGGTTAATTCTGAAGTGATGCCAAGGTTGGGATCTGGAGACTGTGATAGGGGGGATGTGGGTGTAGTAATAGAATCCAGGGATATATTAGGCACTTGGGGGAGGTTAAGAGGGTTAACTTCAGTGACTTCTTCAGTACTCTCGTCGAAGTAGACAACATCCTGCATTGTAAGTTGGTGGTATTCAACAACTTCCCTTAGAAAGCGATTCTCACGGGCATAAACAGAGTTCTCGTGCGCCAGGCGAGCTTTTTCAGCAAGAAGAGATTCAAGTTGCAGTCGTATCTGTAATGGGAATTACAAGTATGTTCAAAACACATTTTTCGTGAGGACTAATCTGATAATCGAATCAATTGGGTGAGATTTTTTGGTTCCTTTTTCTGAATGACATTGGGAAGTGGGGCGAATGATGCAAACAATAGAGAAGAGGAAAAGAACAAGGGGAAGGATAAGATGGGTTGCGGTCCATATACAATAAGTGAGCTTAGAAACTGACACTGTTTAATAAAGTCAAATAAAATGTGAATTAACCCAACCATCAAATCATACGATAACTATCTTGATAATCAGGAATGAAATAGAACAAGTCAAATGGTCAACAAATACTTTTATATTATGCAACATAAGAGTGTGACAAAGTATGTTGGATATCACATATAAACAAGAAATATAATCAAATTATTATAGTATATAACGGAGTGCATAACCTCAGCCCGAACCCATCAAAGAGTTAGATGTATCGGAGATTTCATAGCCTAAGAGTTAGATGTATTGGAGATTTCATATGAACTAGTGATATGACGATTTAATAAAATGTAATGCGCAAGGTTAAACTATCTATGACACATCATAGACCATTCATTAACCCCACGTGTAAGTTTGATTGGTTCAGTCACTTCAATAACACAATTATTTTAAAAATTAAAAAATAAAATATATTCTTTTAACTTAAACAGGTTAGCCTGCCTGATTGTTCCCATGTAGCCAACTCAACCTAGATGAAAAATGTAATTAGGCTTGGGCACTTGGCCCTAATTATGGTAAACAAATTATACATAAGGGCAACCAGCATTAGCCACCTCAGCTCAAGTTTAAATTAGATGGGCTCGGATAAAAAAAATTGTTAAAAACATATTAAGAAACTTTTTCATACAAATTTCAAGGAAAAAAGTAAAAATGAAATAAAATTCTACATTAGCTAAAATTAGTTTGTATACAAGTTAAAAAATAAAAAAATTAGAAAAATTATGAGAGTCTCTACATATTAATTTATCCCTAAGCTAATTTTAATTTATGAAAAAATTGATTTTATTTTTTCTTTTTCTTCAATAAGTGCTTAAGGAGAAATTTGTCCAAATAGATCATAAAGGTTTTTACTGTTAGATGTTGTTAGATTGAGAGAATGGGGCAGATGGAAATAAAATAGAACATTTGGTGAGAGAAGAAAAGTAAAGAAATCATTTTAAAAATGGTGGAACTCATTAATTATTTCTAACCTACTTTTATTCTCTTCATCTCTTCTCTATTCTTGTTCAATCAAAACACATTTAATTTCTACATTATTTCTCATCTAGTTCTACTCTGGCAACTTATTTTTTTCTCTCTTTATTCCTATCCTCTGTACCCAACAAAACATTATTAATGTGCTAAATATAAGAGACATGTGGGCTCCACAGGGATGCACAATGTCAGCTCCTAACATCTTTACAGTTGATCCATAAAGTCAAGTTAAACTCAAACTTTAAAAAGAAAACTTGAAGTCTAGCAAGTAAAAGGGTCAACAACCATCCAAGAATAATTCTAAAATTGTAACGAAAATGACAACCAGAAAATAAGCAGGATGCAATGTTATTAAAGTACTACTATCATACATTATAAGTTTAAACCCCTGAATGCGTAGCATAAAATTAAAAATAGCTAGCCAGTGCACAAGGCTTCTACCTATATAGGGTTTGAAGTGGGTTAAACAAAAGTGGCTTTATCATTATGCGCCGTGAATTTAAGGATCAATAAGAACCACGTCATAAAAAGCATAAAATAATTCATAACTGAAACAAAAGTAAAGGCCAACTGTGCTAAAAAAAATAGATTGGAAAAGGGGACGTGTGAAATCAAATATGTGAAAACAATATCAAATATGCGGAGAAATCAAATGTGAAAAGAATAGCAGATGATAACCTTCTGTATGCCACTGAAATATGCATAAAAGGGGAACTAATGAAATTGAAAAACCAAAAGGATAAAAAAGGACAATGAGACATGCATACCAAATCATCATCATCATCTTGGTTGTCTCCCCTTTCACGATTCTCACGGAGGATTTTATTTTCTTCCTCTAGCTGAGCGCATCGATCTTTTGCAAAAGCTAGATCAGCTTTGACAGTCTTCAACTCCCGAAGAAGTAGTTTTGCTTTGGCAGCCATTGCCATTGCAACCTGTGACATAAACAAAAATGCAAACAACACATCTTATAAAGAAGATTAAGATATATTCATAGAAGCTGGTAAATGATATCAACTTGGTACCATGCTAGGAATAATTCAGTCATAAACTTTAATATATGATCATGAAACAAACATACTAAAAATCAACTTTTTTTTCCTTTGGAGAAAAGGGAATATATAAATCAGGAATATTAAACATGATCCTTTTTCTAAAGAAACACGCACAAAAGGAAATACAAAAGTATTCATGCATTAGTGATGATATCAATCCAACACATGGTATATAAGAATAGTAAAGGCAAAATAATGAGTTGAGAAAAACCTGAAAAGTAACACCAAAGTATTAATTTGGCATTACTCTTGCTTCAGCTGTAGAGTCCACAAAATTGACCTAGGATGATTATGGCTATGGCTATGTGCAAGTTTTAGGGCCACAGTTTTTAAAAATAGCTATAGGTTTGCAAATTAATTTTGTGGAGATCAAACTAGTGATTAAATTTAGAAGGTGAGAAGAGATATACTCAATGGAAACTAGGGACATAAGCATCACTATGAATTTGATTATCTATATTCAACGTAGCAAACGATGATTATCCAGATAGGTGGGCAGGTAAGGTTCCACATTATCAATTATGGGAAGCTTAAGGTTTAATAAAAAAAACATGGTTAGTTGAAGACTACTAAAGAGATAATGCAACTTTAACTCTATCATTCTTTTAAGTTTCAACATCAAGGCTGCCCCTTCAATAGAAATATAGAAATATCATTTCCTTTTATATCTTTTTAGCTGAAGATTTCACAAAAACAAGTTCATCTGTGAGAAACATGAAACTGTCAGGTGAAAAATAATTGTTAAGAAAAAACTAGCTAATGCACTACTGAGTCTTTCTTCAAACTGAACAACAATCATTGAAATTTTTAAAAATTCTTACACATTTCCTATTCAAATTTCAAGTGTCTATAAACTCCGTACATTTAAAATAAAAATACTGACTTATAAAAATGTAATTAATTGATAAAAAAAACATTTTAAGGTCTGACACTCCAACATTCAAATACAGATGTGTGATCCAGACTCTAAATACAAATAAAGAAAAATGATTGCTTTCTTTAGGCTCGCTTACACCCATTAACTGCGAAGGTCAGACAAAAATCTCTTACCATCTAGTAATGCATATTGGACCAATACATATTCTATGCTGTATGTATATGAGCACAGGTACCTATGTTATTTGACAGAGATGGTTACTCCACACAACACATCTGATTTGTAATTTTAGAATTTAAAAAATTAAAAGAAACTCATTGTGTAAAAAATGTGTGTTTTTTTCATGTACTTTGATTCGAATTTGATGAGTGACAATTTTTGTATTATGTAAATTACCAAATTGTATCTTCACACCCCATGTATTGATGACCATGAATCCTAAGATAGAAGCGTCAATCAATAGACACATTCAAAATTGTCCACCCTTAGTCATATCTCTATTATTTGATTAACTGAATATGAGAAAGCAAGATATTTACAGTACAAACAAATATTTATTCAGTATATTTTAAGAGCATGAAGTAAAAATGAAAAAAAAATGTAAAAAGAAAAAAATGGACCTAGAATATTGAGCAATTTTGATGCTGCACAAGTTAACCACACATGTACTTTTACCACAATAAAAAGTGATACACAGTTGCCACCTTACGTCGCGTGATGCCTTCAGTTGAAGTTCTTGGTCTGTTTGCTTAGGTGACATCTGGTTTCGCAATTGGGATTGTTGATGAACTGTACTAGAATGGTTTCTCTCCTGATTTTGCCCTACAAAGCTTCCAGGCTTCTTCCTGATATGCCTACGAGTTTCGTGAATGATATCTGAAGTCCGGTTCTCAACAATTGTTAAACCTTCCTACACAAATGAATTAGCAAAGGTGCTAAGGAATCACAACACATACTTTTTGGAAGGAAAGGAAGTTTGAAATTTGTATTTGAAGCCTGACAAGAAATAATATAACCAACAACCTACTACAATAACATTCCCATCCCTATCTACATAAGCCCACAAGGCAAATACATAGTAAAATAAAAGGACACATGCCATCCTCACCATAACCAAGAATTCTAATATTGATCTAAATGTCTAATACATTTTGAAAGATTGAAAACACCAAGTAAAGAACATGTTTATAAGACACGAGAAATATAATACGTAAGCAAAAATGTTCACATCAAACCTCACCTCCAAAGATTTACCAATATGAGTAAGAGAAGATGTGATAGCATCTAATCCCTTCATAAATGCTGGACTTTCCCTTTTGAGATTGTTCTCCTCTGGGTGATTTGAATTTTGGAACTACAAAGAGAATGACAATAGCATCGAATTTTAAAGTTCAAAAAATAATGAACAAGCAACTATTACAAGCCCACTAAAAGAATATCACAACAATTCAAATTCAGAAATTGGAAGCGCATATGATATTTATAGCCATCCTCGGTGTTCTGTTAATAGTTATTTGTTATATCAGTAGAGTTACCATTTCAAACAAGGACACAGATTGGGCAGTTTTGCAGCAATCTTTTTTGTATTACTCTGATGCACCTAGTAGGATTCTTAATCCATCTTTTATATGTACTTCACCTTCTTTCATTTAATCTGATATCAATAAACCTTCTTCCCTACTAAAATAAAAAATAAATAATTTAATAAATTATCCTTTTACATTTTAGTGCAAGAAATCCATAACTGTCAATCCCACATAACAGCAGCTGACGGCAAAAAAGCCACAGGGAAAAAGTGAGAAACAGGGGATAATCACTATTTTGATATTGTGATGTTCTTTAGATGTATTGTAATGTTCTCAAACTTGAGGATCAGAAGGGAACAAAAGTTCATGACTCGACCCGGAAGTGTTATGTGTATACAAAAAACTATATATTGTGCATACATTAAAAATAGGGTTAAATATGCATTTAATACCTTAATTTTTACACAAAATTGGAATTTGTCCCGGTTAGAAACTTTGATAAATTTTGATCTCCAAAACTTTAAAAATGAATGGATATAGTTTTTTTAACCCAATTATGTTAAGTGTTTTTGACATGCTAGCATTTTAGTTGTTTACATCATTTGATATGTTTTTCTTCAGTGTTAACTAAAAAACGTCTTTGACACATAAAAAAAATTTAAAGTAATTGGATTAAAATAACTATATTCATTCATTTTTAAAGTTTAGGGATTTAAATGTATCAAAGTTTCAGACAAGGAATGGCTGGCTGTTCACTTATATTTCTTTATTTCATGTACATGGCTTCATTTCTTTCATGTTTCTTCTCCTTTCTTGAATATTCAACTTTCAAGAGGAGTGGGTGGGTTATCAGTTGTAGTCTTTCCCTGCTTCTCTACTACAATACTACTTCTAGCAACACCATTGAACCACTTTAAGTAGGTTTACTTACACCAGATGCCATTTTTTTCTTGCAAATTCTGAACAGAACACTCCAAATCTGAATGGCAGCAAGAGCAGAAGAAAATATAAAGAAAAAGTAACACAAGCAAGCATCAATGCCGATGAAGCAAGCCTTGTTAATGGCTAGTCACCACAAAGCGAATTTTGCAATGCCAGTGATGGTGACAAGTGCGTTGTGATGGCCAACACCAACAATGATGGCCAACAACAACTACGGGAGTTTTGTTGAATTGGTGCTCTGCCGAGTAGAGTTACAAAGGATGCTTCGTATCTTCTCTAATATGTAGCTAGGAGCTCTAAGAGTAAAAGGGCCATTTTTCATTTTTAAAATTGGGTCAAAATAAACTTGACCCAAAAAGCCTAACTACATGAGTTGACACAACATATTAACTAGCAGCCCGAACCCACACACAAGAACGCATCAGGCCCAGATTGACACAACGACCAGTATGTCAATTTCCCAAGTAAAATCACAATCCTATAGCAATCCCTGATTTTCCCAATCTGCCTCCCGTATTAGCCCACATGGGCCTACTCTTCTCACATGATAGTGTGAGTTTGCATCCGTACACACAATTTTGACTACATTGATTATACTACTCACAGAAGTATCAAGGACTTAAAAAAATCATATGTAAAGGATTGGCCAGAACAGTAACAAGTAAGCTTGCTCGTAAATGGCCAAAAAATGTTATGTGATGCCAGAAGTTTAGCAGGAGAAAGGTAGGTCTTTGTCAGTAGATATGCAAGTGAAGGGGGGTGTCTTTCCTGATTTGATTCTATATAAAGGGGGGCAAATTTTCAAGATTGTTGGCTTAAAAGAGCACCAAATGATACATTCCAGAACCAAAAAAGGGATTTTCACCCATGAATACTAAACTGAAAGATATGGCCATAATTTCATGCAAAAGCAGCTGCAATTCAGCTATACAAAACAGCAACACAACAGGCCACACATGCAACACTGCTATAGCAGCGCTATGAGCTAGCATACATGATTATGTGTGTATCCCTACAAAATGAAATTCACCTTTTCTTTTGTGAAGAACTAAAACTACAAAATTAAACTATGATATGATTGTTTACAAAGATTAAATACAAGATCCTTCCATAATCTTGAACCCCTTCAAAGCCTCAGTTTCAAATCACTGAAATCATATTTAACTGACTTTTATTCCAGTCATAACATACAAAGCAGCATCTCTGCAGAGAATTAAGATATAATTCCAAACTCACCTTGCCCCTAGATGCTGCACCAGGCAATTGTGACCTTCCCACTCCAGACATTTCAGATTGCTGGGGTACATTATCATCCTCGATAATCAATTTGGCTTTTCTGGCTAGAACACCCCAAAATCCATTCTTGGATTCGTTCATGTTCTTCATAGATGTATATTCATAGGGTCTTGAATCCTATATATACAGCATTACATTTAGCAAAATGACTATTATTTTGAATCAACATAATGATACATTCAGCTAAATACAAAGACTACATATTAAAAGAGACAGAAAGTAAGCATATCTACAAAAGAATTTCCAACATTAACGCATTCTCTCGTAAGAAAATAAAATCAGTATTAGTTGTAACAGACTCATCAACTTTTTAATTTTAAGTAATAAAAAAATTCGGAACTGGAATTATCCAGACATCAACAATTAAAAGAAGTAGCTGCCATAAAATGCGGGCAAAAACCTAATAAAAGAATTCACCTAACGAGGGAGAATTATACAAAAGATGAGAAGCACACTTAGAAAAATACAGAGCTATACACAAACACTACAATCCTACAGATCAAAAGTTGCTGATAGGAAGGTACTGCAGAGACTTTAAGTTGACAACGTTTATATACACCATGTTTTGACTATTTTTGCTAAAGTTGATATCACTTTCACACCCTGCTCGTATTGCAACTGCAGTATGAAACTGAAGGACGACATCACCCCGTATGCTATACTACACAGCAGCGACACGAACCCTGCAATCCAATAAGACCTCCCTTTCCCTGCGCCACTTGCAATTGCACAGGAATTGGTATGCCATCGGCAACTACCTCGTAGCATCTAAACACAGTTCTGATGTTTCACTGGCATGGGAATAGTTCCCCACTTTTATATTCTTCGTAACAGTACTTTAACAGGATTTCTTTAACATATTCACTGATTCAGAGATTTTACGAAGCTCTTTCAAACTAAACTACTCCATTTCCCTTTGCCTATAAGATTTCTCTAATTTTCTTCTCGGTTGATAAACAAATATTCAATAAACCCTATCCAGCAGAAACCTCCAAAGCAATAACACACAACGCATAATTGAAATCAAACAAGTACAGTCACACTCAGCGTACATCGGAATGTTCATATTTTATAAAGAGAGGAGTGGACCTTGGAAGAAGGAGGAGGAGTTGGAATGGGTTCAGAAGGAGCTGTCGGAGAAGAAGCGGAGGAGAGACCATAGAGAGAGGACAGAGAAGAGTCGCGACGCGCCGAAGAAGCTCTGATAGCTTTCGCAGCAAGCGAAGACGACGACGACGACGACGACGAAGCTAAACCTTCAACGACGTCGTTTGGCGGCGGAAAGGAGTTAGGGTTTCGAGTGGTTTCGTCTTCGAAGGTCGAAAACGAAGGTTTCGAAAACCCTTGCTGCTGTCTTCGTCTATACGCCATGGAATCAATCCACCACGATTTTCTGGATCGAACGAATCAATAACAGAAAAGAAAAACACCGAAACGATTCGCACTGGAAACAAACTGAACTGGCGCCACCGCCAGTGCCACGGTCTCGGAGCTACCGGAAACTGCTTCCGCCCTCGAATTCGGATCCGATCGCGAACCACCGTCGGAAGACTGTATATGCGCAGTGACAGCGTTTATCGAAATTAATATATTTTTTAATGTAATAAAAAAAAATGGGATATCAGATAGTGTCTGCGTCTCCCTCTTTCTTTGTCTCTACTGCTTCAACTAATAATTACGGATAAAGTATATTTTATTCTTTTATGATTCGCGAGTGGTTTTAGTGGAAAAAAAATATATGCAAAATAAAAAAAATAAGGTGAAGAAAAAATAGTAAAAAAAAAATATGTATTGTGTCATTGGTCTTATTTTCTATTTGAAATATTATTTTAAAACACTGTATAAATTTTATTTAAACGTTGTGTAAATTGTATTTATAAATTAAAAATAAAATTATATATATATATATATATATGGGTTTGCTAACGTAGGTCTGTTTTTCAGTTGGTACATTTTAACAATGTGTAATGAATTTTAATAGACAAAAATACTCTTATATATCATGAATTCTAAGTTTTAAGGTTAAGGATATTTTAATAAATTTCATTCTCAGAACTAAAACTTAGAATCCATGATATATAAGAATATTTTTGTCTATTAAAATTTGATACACATTACTAAAATGTACGAACTGAAAAACAGGCCTACGTGCGTTGTGCGTTATATATAATTGAAGAGAATAAAAAACATAAAACGTCTTATTTTATTTTGAATAGTTACATTGTTACGTTCATTTTATTTTGAATAGTTACATGTGTTACGTTCATGTTCACTTTTCCTATTATAAAAAAATTATTATTAATAGAAATGTAAAAAAATATAAAGTTAAACATAAATAATTTTACAAATTTATTGTAGATAGTTTTTATTTATTTTTTAGGAAAATTTTATTATAAATAATTATTTTAATTTAAAAATGGTTAAGTTTAAGAAAAAGTTAAAATTAAAAAATAGTTAAATTTAAAAATGTCACCTGATAAAATAACTATTCTAGTTTACAATTATTATTTGAAAAATAAAATTAAAAAGAAAAATGTATAAATCAAACTAAGAACAGAGATAAAACAGAAGAATTTTTCTTAAAAAGAAAAATAAGAAAATAAGGAAAAGAGATAAAATGAAAAAAGAAAAAGTATATAAGTTATAACTTCACTTCTAGTCCTTGTCTCCGCTCTCCGGTTTGGAGATGTACCTGTCAAAGGTTCTCCAATACTTAAGTTAGTACCTTGTTCGCATGACAATAAATGGACAGTAGATGTAATCACCTACTTCCTACTTTTGACCTATATTTATAATTTTTGGCATAAACTCGAAACTAGTGAAACCTTAGTCACGGCCCAATCTCACTACCTATAATTATTATTTACCTCAATCCTTGTGAAAAAACTTATTTTTTAACTAAGATCGGACGTCTCTTTTCCTGGTCGTCCGGTCTTGCCTGCTGGTTCTGACACGTTCGATCCTTGCTTAACTGCTTTCTATTTTCTAGAGTTGTTCGGCTGACTTGATGTGGGATAACAGGATGGCAGTCCAGCTATACCATACACTCATATTTATTAGATGTGATAAAAAAACATATTACTTTGAACAAGTTTCAAAGATGTAAATATTTTACATATAGAGATGTTATAATGTATAACAATTTCTTTTTCTCATGGTAATCTAGTATATTAATATATGCGATTTAGATAAATTAAAAAATATTTATTATAATATAAATGTCAATACTTAATTTATTTACACATTATCTTAAATGCATGATCTCAAATTAATACAACTTTTATTATTTATTTGTAAATTTCAAATCATTGCACATTCTACTTGTACATATTTTCTTGATTAAAAACTCATCCCATATTAATATTCATATCTACTTCGTCTTAATTTAAATGCTAATAAATTAAAATAAAGTTTCAATTGGATTAATATAATATTCAAATACAACATAATAATAAAATATAACAAAAGAGTGAAAGACAAACAAATTTTGTTATTTAAAAATATTTAAAAACATGTTAATTTGAAGTTCATAAAATATTATCTTATTAAGCCAATATTCCAAAGATGAATCCCTATATCAATATATCACTCTACTTGGAACAACTAACAATAATTTCTCCTTATAAACTCTTCTCAAACCATACATACATACCCTCTTACATTAAGATCATATAATTCATTTTATATTACTAAACAAACATCAAAGCATCAAAACATCTTGTAGGGTGAGGTTTGCACCCACTTATAAACTAAGAATTGACCTTATCTCTAGTCGATGTAGGACTTCCAACAAGTGCCCAGTGTTAGACTGCTCGCCTAGTGAGCTACTCTCTAGCGTCTAGCGAGAGCGCAAACAAATCTCGCCCAACCTCTGAAACTCACTACCAAACTACTATATTACTCACCCAACGACTCCTTTACTCTCCCAACTAGTCTGTAGAATTTTTCATAACATTAATTCTATAGAATTTGCACCCCTTAACATCAAAAGTTATAACTCTCACACCTCTACATGCATCTACAACTCTCATTTACTATTTCAAACCTTAATTGAACCCTTTCAAGTGATTATGACTCATCTGAAACTCTATTAATTTTATTTTCCCTTGAATTTCCCACTAACACAATCTAAAACAACATTCTAAAGCCCATCATTCATTCCTACTCATTCCTCATCATAATTTGGTAAATTTAACATTTAAACAAGTATTAAATAACCTAAGAACACACTTTAAACCTCAGGATTCTCTATCAAACTTTTATCTCAAAATCTCACCTATCAAAACTCTTATTTAGCACTAAACTAGCTTACCACTCTTACCAATTCACTACTTTCCAATTTAACATCATTCCTTTCTATTAATTGAGGTTCTATACAAATTTTAAATGACTAATACCAATCACAAACATTAGTTATCACCCCAAAGTTATTCCTCTAAAGTTTCACTTACCGAAACCTAAATCAGACCAAAAGCACCCCCATAACACTTTCTTTTCACTACCTTTAACCATACGTCAAATTTATACCAAATTAGACTACAACACAAGAGCATCAAATGTTCAAACCAATATGAATTCTCAAGCATATACAACAAAATTCATCAGAATATAAACATCACTCAACAATTATCTCAATTATAACATATTCAATCAAACATAATTTTTCACCTCATATCAATCATAAATTCATGCATCTTAACACAAAATTAAGGGCAATATTAGCTTCCCTTTCCTAGTTGGAAAAAATCAAACAGTTCTACAAGGTAAATTATCCCTGTCATCACTCAGATAACTCTATCAATACCTAGAGACCATAAAATCATGATCAAGGTAGGTCCTTAGGACCACTGATCGATAAAGAATTAACAAAAGAGATTGAATGACATGTGCGTGCAATTCTATTCGCATGTGCCTTAAATTGAAAATCAAAGAAAAAATGAGTAGAAATTGACTTACTTTATATGGAAAACTGATTAGCTAATGTTATAGGTATTACTGTTGTGATCACCTAGGTACTTCCTTATCGTTAAAAAAATGACTCATAAGTTAAAAATATTAGAAAAAAGAGAGAGAAAAGTCACATAATGAGTTTTAAAGAGATGACAAGTGTTTTAGATAACGAGACGTGTTTATAAAATTCTATTTATATTATAGAATTATTTTAAGATTTAAATAATTGGTCTCATTATTTTAAAATACTTATCAACTCTAATACTCTATTTTTTAGTTTCTTACAGTATTTTCTTTTAAAAAAATGTCAAATACATGTGAAAAAGATAATGGTGCCAAAATAACTTTGTCTTAGTTTATCATATGTAATTTTAGGATTTTACGTTATGGAGTTATAAATATATTATCTATACGTATATTATTGCAGGTTTATATTTGTGTTTTTTGATAGTACTAAGATATATATTTATAGGACATTACAATTGAGATTTTTATAAAAACAAAAGTAATTATTTCAAATTTGAAAGAAATAAAAAATAAAAATAAAAGTTTAATCATACTAACAATATATTTAAGTTTTTAAATTTGTTACCAAAAGTAATAAATTATAAATTAATTATCACTTAATAATTTTTGTTTGATTCATGTTTATTAATTAAAATCAATATAAATTATATTAATCATATATTTAATAATTACACTGAATTCATTAATTATGCATTTTAAAATTATACATTTATTTTAATATAACTTTCACTACAGATTTGGGTTAAGACAGATACTTTCACTAACCCTTGCAAAGGGACAAGGATCCTTTCAAAAGAGATTAATAAGATTTAGTCTATATTAAGGTATGTCTAGCTTATCTAACATTTAATCTTAAAACTATCTGTTTAATGGTTAGTGAATTAAACATGTTAATACACCTTAAATTGAAATAAATATTTTTAAAATAAGAAATCACTTTTATAATTTATTTATATATTTAACAAAACTACATAATTAGAATTGTAAATCTTATATAACACATATTATAATGAATTCAAGGATAAAAAAAATGGAACTTGTGGTGACCAAATTGCCCTGGGGAGTGGCCCAGTTTCACTACTTGTTTAGAGACAAGGCTTCCTATAATTCTAATCAATTAAAGTCTTCCCTTCCCACTCTGATTTGAGTTTCTTCATTTATACAAAAGAATTATGTAAATTTTACTGTTTTCTCAAATCATTCAATAATTTAGTAATTATATTTAATTAACAATACAATATACATTAAAAATAATAATTGTAATTAGATACTTTAATGATATATTTAATAATTACATTAAATACTTTAATTGTTTTTAATATTTTAATTAATTATATTATTTCTTAATGGTATTTTAAATAAATAAGTCAGGTATAACATTTAATTATATTAACATATAAATGATTTAAAATTGAAGATGGAATCAGAATTGTAAATTTTAAAAAATAAAGACTAAACTTTCACAAAAGCAAATAAAAAATCGTTAATGAAAATAGAAGAGAGACCAAAATTAAAATTATATATATATATATATATATATATATATATATATATATTAATAGTATTTTTTTTTTATTATCATTAATTATATATAATTATTTTTTATAATTATTTGCAGTAATATAAAAAAAAAAATTTTGTATACACATTTTACATTTCTATTTCATTTAGTTATGTTATATATGCAATGCATG